GAGAGAAAGAGAGAGAGAGAGGGGGAGAGAGGGATGGGGACGCTTGTATGCCAGCCTTTGCTGCATAATTTCTGCACGCTAGATTGTCATTTAAAATGAGTTAAGCGCTGCAATTGCTGCAATGCGGACAAGCTGGCAACGCTGACAGTTGTTGCGGGTACGAATAACGAGTGCGGAGTCCGAGTTGGAGTCCCAGGCACGGCCGTGCTCCAGGTCCCGGACAGCGTTTGGTCCGCTCCTTGTGCTCGTCGCCAGGTAATGAGCAAACAATAAAAGCAAATGTCGCTGCACGAAACAATGGCGACAAGAAAGAGTGTTGTGAAACGAGAGAGCACGAATAGTAGATGCCCTGTAGAGAGAGAGAGAGAGAGAGAGAGAGAGAGAGGTGAAGTGGAATTGAAAGGAAAGGCGGAAATGTAAGACTTTTATATTGAGATTATATAACTCGACTATCACAAAAGATAATTTCGAGAGTTCTTTCTAAAACAAATTTGCCATATACCAATTATCCGCTTTCTTCGATATGGCAAGAAAAGATAGCAAATACTGGGTATATAAAAAATGAGCTGAACTAAAAAAACCAATTAGATGCCAGCAGAGTCCCAAAGAGAACAAACGATATAGCCAAAGACGAAACGGCGAAACCAAGCGGAATGGGAAAGTGTGGAGTGTGAAGGAGTGTGAACGTTGAAAACTTTTCGTGTTCTGTCGATGTTGTGACAGGCAGCAGCAAGGGGATGAGAGGGGGAGGGGGCGAATACGGCCGGAGTGATGGGTGGAGCATTTGGGGGGTCGGTGCCGTGTTTATTGAGCGCCTCGTTAGCTGGCAATGGCGACCAACAACGGCGACAATGGCAACTCTGGTCGCGATGTAAATTGCATTTCCATTGTTAATTACCAGCGATTCATAAATTTTACATTTGCCCTTTGACCTCAACGCCCTGTGGCACAGCCCGTTTATATGGGCGGGCTGCCAAAGGCTGTGATTACTCAAGCATCATGCTTGGCTGGGTAATCTTATATGTATGCAAATTTCATGGTATGAAATACCCGCCAAACCTCATCTCAAACGCCCTAGTATGTATTCTAAATTCTTATTTAACAAAAAGCTAAATCTCCTGTAAATGGACTGTGCTTAGGAGCACAATTGACTGCTCAGATTTGTTGTTCTGTCTATAATGCTTGGCTAATTTATCATAGCAGAGAAGGAATTTGATGGAAATCTTTAAGTTCATTCATAGACCTCATTTTAAGCAACTCAGCCGTGAGAATTGGATTTTTTTACCTTTTTTTTTGGGAGCATTATTATGCCTCGTTTCGTATTTCAATTTGGGAAATTTGCATTTTCTAGCAATTTCCTAGGAAAAAAGTTTAATGACAAAACTTTAAGTTCTGGTTGTAGCTTAAAGCGGTTACTTGCCGACAAAGCTGACACGCCCATTTCCGGCTTCACGCCCATTCTCGCTTCCCCTGTGCGCATATTTAGCAAATGTTTTTATTGGCCGTTAGCTTCACCTGGCCCATGCTGGCGCCCGCAGCCAGTGCACTCCAGTTGCCTGCCGCTCTGCGCCCCTTCCCCGTCCCCTGGCGCGCTCATGATAGAAAATTAGCATTCGTTATTTATCACCACCACGAATGGGAAACTCGCTGCCAGCAGATTCTATGAAGAGCGAACGAACGAACGCTTTTACTTTTCACTCACCGCGTGACTTTTACAGCCTCTTAATTTAAACAGCCGCCCGTTAAGGGGCGGCTCCGGGCATGTTATGGGCGCCTGGGGGCGCCAGCGGGGCGAGGCGACCGGCGAGTGGCAAAATTAATTTGTACCAGACGACATTTTTAATGTATGCCCGTTCTGCTTTCTGCTGCTCCTGCTGCTGCTGCTGCTGCTGCTGCTGCTGCTGCTAACTGCTGCTGCTGTCGACTCGCATTTGGATTTTGGTGTTGCGTTTCTTTTTAGTTTGCTTTCGACATTTTCATTCTGTTGCGCTCTTGTCACGTAATTCAAATTTTATATTCACTTTTGAGAGCTGCCCCCCAAAGGCAGCCCCTCCCGGCGCCCATGTGGCGTGTGTACACGTGTCTGTTTGCGTGCGTGAGCCGCTGTGGCATTGTAAATTTTATCGATTTACCGCACAGATTTCACACCCTCCATAATCCACAAAAGTCCACAAATCCCGTCCGCTCGCTCGCCTGGCTGCGTGTGTACACGAATTAACATGAAATTATAATGCATGCATCAAATTCATGTAAGCTTTTTTTTATAATTATGCAATTTTCACAGTTTTGCATAAATTGTTGGACAGTTTGCGGCATTTGTGTGTCCAAACTGCCAGCTAACCCCATACGCTGAGCCGCTGGCTTAGGCCCCATCACAATATGTTGTCAATTTGGTGGGACTTTTAGCCATATTTGATGAGTTCAGGCGCTTGGAAAATTGTTCGATTATCCGATAATAGCCAGCAAACACAAATACCACCAGATTTGCAGCCTTATTTCACGTGAAAAATTAATGAATATGTATGGGTATTCAGAATTTGTATATGAACATTTGAACCAAAAAAAAAAGTACTTATCAGCTGTGGCTACTGCGCTAAAAATATGCTTAGATTAGATTTGATGCTATCTTTATCAAATTTATTTATAGCTCTTAATAAATGCATATTATTTAATTATATTATGTTCTATGGCAATTAAAACGTGTTTTCAGAATGTTAGATAGATTCAGACAACAACTCACAGCGTCCTCGATAGTATAGTGGTTAGTATCCCCGCCTGTCACGCGGGAGACCGGGGT